AGAAATTAATCATTTTCCTTTAGCAATGGGAAAAAACGTGATGGCAGACAGAAAACCCCCTCAAAAGATTAGTCTAAGAAAAGAAAGGTAAGAAAAGAAAGGTAAGAAAAGAAAGGTAAGAAAAGAAGAGTTGAATCCAACAGTGGTGACCTTCTCAGTCGTCCAGACGCCCACCCATCATTTGTCATTCAGGGTTTAAGTATGTCTGTAAACATGATTATGCATACTCTTTGACGAGTGCTTTTGTAGCCTTGAAATAGGCGCGGTAACGAGGAAAACATGATTATGCATACTCTTTGACGAGTGCTTTTGTAGCCTTGAAATAGGCGCGGTAACGAGGAAAACATGAGCTCATTTCTGTCAGAGCGTTTTTGCATATGTCAACCTGGAAAAAGAATCCTTTAAAAAATTCGAAAAGCATAATAATTAGCTATTTTCACAATACAACGTCTTTAAAAAATGTGTATTTGCGATTAAATCTCGAAACTTTCATACTTTACATTTCTAGTTTAATACTCTGTAAAGTCTGTGGCTTGAGTTATGAGCTATTAATTAATACATGAGTATGGTGTACAGTAAAGTAATCGTAAAATCTCATTACCAGAAATAACATAATATTATGTTTACGTCAAATACAAAATATACATTTACGTCAAGACATAGATTAGGCAACAGTTGGACATCAAAATTATGATTATAATAGCCACAAAAGGAAACAAATTACTCATAATTTCCTATAATTTCCTGCTTGTTGACGAAGTCAGGTTTCATGATTAGTCGATTAGGCCGCAAATTAAGAAAGGCCATACGTGTGTGCAAGTAGAGCCAAATGAGACCCACAGAAAAAACAACAACCCCATAAAACAAAAGAAAAATACGGAAAGACTTGATAAAAGACGACACTCAGGCCCCTATCGACTCCAAATTGCCCACAAGCAGTTTGTAGAGTTATAAAACCCACAAAACAAATAAATCATTTTCAAAAGAGATTTAAAAAACCCAAACTGGTTTCGTTCTTTTAAAAAAATTGTGTCTAAGCATTATGAATCTTTTTCTTTTGTGAATGTGTGTGTGTGTGTGTGTGTGTGTGTGTGTGTGTGTGTGTGTGTGTGTGTGCAACATTTCTCGAGCACATGCAAGTAACATAATTGATTAAGAACGTTCAATAACAATAATTGTAACATTTTGGGTTTAGTTCATCTGAGCAGCTGGCTGGTGATATGTCACTTTGGAAGACCGTCTGCTCCGACCCAGTCTGCGAGGGATAACAAACATTTCCAAGACTGCCACTGAGCTACAGGACAAACTGATGATTTCCCCACGAGCTAACGGAACTCAAGACTGCCATTGAGCTGCAGGACAAACTGATGATTTCCCCACGAGCTAACGGAACTCAAGACTGCCACTGAGCTACAGGACAAACTGATGATTTCCCCACGAGCTAACGGAACTCAAGACTGCCATTGAGCTGCAGGACAAACTGATGATTTCCCCACGAGCTAACGGAACTCAAGACTGCCACTGAGCTACAGGACAAACTGATGATTTCCCCACGAGCTAACGGAACTCAAGATTGCCAGTGAGCTACAGGACAAACTGATGATTTCCTCGAGAAACGTGAAAGAGCCAAACTATGAGGAGAGCAATGGCGCCAGCGAGCATGAGATACAGCGTCGCTCACAACAATGCACTAGACGGTGCAGAACTACTGGAGCCACAGACAACAAGATCTGTGTAAGCTGATTCTGTGGCAGACGGTCTCCAGGTCTCCAGGGGGGTTTGGCGTCCAAGGTTTGTTTGTCATTTGGGTTTGGGTTTGGTTTGGGTTTGGGTTTGCGTTTTGATTTTTTGACATTGTAGACAGCTTTAGGTCACATCAGCATGAGCATGGAACAATCATCTACG